AATTCTGATGCTTCTTGGTATCCTTCAACTTCTTGAGGAAACAAATTTTCAGAGATTCCAGCTTCAAACATGCGAGTTATTCTAGAAATGATAGATTAAATATACAAAAATAAATCTTAATTGCGGTATGCAGTATAAAAAAATTTATAAATTTATAAATTTTTACGTGTTAGTTAGATCCTTCTTAAATGGAAAATTCTTTCGGATTGGAAAAGCCGTCATATATGTTTGAAAAGAATCTATCGACGTAACATATTTATGCCATTCTTTTTTACTAATGTACGCATTAAACACATTTTTTATCATTATGTAAGCAAATCTTTCATTCTGCGCTTTTTTAATGCCTTCTGTTGTAACCATGAAGTTTTTATTCGACAGAATGTTTTCTCTTAAAATTTTAATATTTTCTGACTTCGATTCTTAGAATTAATAATTATATTAATAGAAAACACAATCGTTATAATGAACAAATCCTAAAATTAAAAAAAACACTGAAGAGAACATTCGTAAACGTACAAAGTATACATCTTTTAATTTAAAACACTTACCATCATGTCTTCCCAAATAACAAATTCTTTGAATGTTCCGCTTGAGTACTCACCGCTGCGGACAAATACAGCAAGTTCCTGAAAATCTCTTGGAACAGTCTCAGTTAAAGGACATGTCATAAAAGACATTAACGCCCCGCTGTAACCGGATACAAAAACAAGAATCGATAACAACCAAATTCCTATCATTAGTCTGGACGCAAATCTTTTTACATTTTCTAGATTCAATCCTAAGTTGAATTAAAAAGAGTTATTCTTTATAAAACTCGAAATTTGTGTTATATTATAATAAAAGAATTTTACCTTGACTCAGAAATGTACAAACTAAATTCCAAAAAACTGTACACAGAGTCCATCGTTTTGGTGTTTTTGCATGGATAAAGTCCTTCTCTAGCACTTTATATAGCGTTAGTCCAAATATCAATAAAATCGAAAATATAGCGATCCAAATCTAATTTCATAAAATATAACTTGATGTTTCAGTTTTAGTAATAGTTTAAGTGTTGTTATTGTTACTTACATTTAAGGTAAAAGGCTTCGTAACAGAATTCCAATCAGAAACCTTATCCGGAGCTTTAATAAGAAAAACGGTAGAATGAAAACCAAAAACTGACGTAAACTCCATAGCAGAAAAGCGTTCTTGGGTAACTCCTACAGGTGTAAAGGCCACATCTGCTTCCTCAATTAGAAAATTAATTATTAAAGCTAAATTCACAATAAATATACTTTAAAATGTTGATTGGTGAAATATCAAATTAAATTGTTGTGCTGGGCAAAGTGTTATACATTTTTTATTGACTGTTAAATATATTGTAGGTTTAACATGTCTGAAGAATGATACTAATTTATATTTTTTAATCGATCAGAAACCCAAAAAATTCATTTTGGGAATAATTTATATTAAATATATTTAATTTTCATGAAGTTATTGCAGGAAAAATATCCAGTTTACTAGGTTTAATGATTACTTTTTTATATTATTCTGTGAAAATATTATATATTGATTATAAAGAATGTGCTATTAATGTTTTATAAGACCCTTTACCAGATACTTCAGATAACTAGCAGTGGAACGATTAAGTAAAAAATAGATGAAAATTATCTATAAATTTTCAAGAGATACAGGAGATACAGAAAGAAAAAAGGAATACTTTAAAGTTATGCAATATTTAACCGAGCCTTTTGACAGAGCCTTTTGATTAGGGCCTCAGTTAATATACAGTAGACCACCTTATAACGCGGGTTCCTATAACGGATATTCCTATAGCGTGGCGAGAAAATTGCGACAGCATTTGTATAAAGATGCTAAAAGAGACTCGTAAACCGTTGTCGCCGACTCGTGTCGCGACAGGATTGGTCGAATCTGGACCAATAGTGGACGAGCAGCCGAACTACTTTATGCCGTCTAGCGCTAAGCTACAGAGAGTTAAGGGAGGTAAGTTGAGTTTACTATCGTTTGTAAAGTATGTATTCAAATAATTCGGTACCGTAAATCTGATACAGTACTGTAATTTTATACATTTCTTGTGAAAGAAACATTTCTTATTCAACGGCAATTAAAATTATTTATATTAATGATGTCTCCAAATTTCAACGAATTTTTCGCAGAAAAATAACTTATCAGAAATCGCAGCTGCCGTCTGGTGCGCTGCTCTGCGACGAAAACAAGGTTAAGCAATGTCGACGTCGCACGGTGCACACTCGGTAAGTAATCTTACAATTTTTTGTTTATAGCATAGTTTATACGGATTATCCCCAAAAAATTATACGTGTTTTGCAAATGTTGAGTCGAATTAGTGTAGAATTGATTAATTTTATGGAAGAAAACCTTTCAAACAGCCATAGTCCGTAAACTTCACAAGAGTCGGACTGTGATTGGCTCATGTATTTAAAAATATTTACAACGTAAAATTCGTATAACGTGAAACGTACAGTACTTACGCGTTATAGGGAGATCTACTGTATAGCTAAACAACGTCTTAGCTCGAGCCCTGGTACATACTGGCAGTTCCGAAAGTTTCATAGATTATAATTTTGCATTGTGTCATTGCCTCAGAATTATTCCACATATTGCTCAAGCTTCTATGAATTCAACTGCTTTAAGTTTGACTGTGAGGGATCAGTGCATAGTTTTTATTAAATTAAATAAAGGGCCATACTTATCCAAAGGTTACGCTGTCAGCTTCATCTGGTCTATGTGCTGATGTAATTCTAGGGCGCGATTTCTTAGCTTTGCATACTGATGTGTGTTTGAAGTTTCATAGCTTTCATAAATCTTTGTTAATCTGTTCTTCACTGTTTACAAACGTGCCACCGGCCCATCTCTTCAAACATTTGTCTACACACAAGGCCTATCGCTACTAAATCTAGGCAGTTCTCTAAACCATATCATGATTTTATTGATGCAGAAATTAAGAATTTGACAGCTGAGGGTATAACTGAAGAAAGCAATTCTCCATGGAGGGCTTAAATGGTAATTGTATCTTGTCCAAAGAAAAGGTTACTTATAAATTATTCTCGCACTATTAATAAGTTTACTGAGTTAGATACATTTCCTCTCTCTAGAATTGAAGACTTGATTCAGAAATTAGCCTCTTATAAAGTTTTCAGTACAATAGATTTGCGTCGAGCTTACCATAAAATTCCTATTCCAAAAGAAAACAGACGTTTTTCAACGTTTGAAACTTGTAACAAATTTCAACAGTTTAAGGTGAATAGTTTCGGTCTCACAAATAGTGCTACTGGATTTCAACGTTCTGTTTCTCAAATGATTGCTAAAGAAGGCTTAGTCGACACATTCGCTTATTTAAACGATGTTACTATTTGCAGAAGAACGTAGGAAGAACATGATCGTAACCTTACTTGTTTTATGGAAATGGCTCTTTAATATATGTTAACACTCAACAACGTGAAATGTTCATTTTCTTCTAGATCTATTTTTATACTAGGTTACCTAATTGAAGGGGGAGCTATATACACCTATATCTCGAGCGTCTAAAGCCTTTGCTAGAATTACCTCTCCCTACGGATATTATGTCTCTTTGCCGAACAGTAGCAATGCTGGCCTACTATGCCCCGTGGATAAAGGGATTTTTCTTGAGAAAATTCAACCTGTAGCCCAGACTAAGTCATTTTCACTGCCAACTGAGGCTCCCATGATGTTTTCAGATTTGAAAGCTGACATATCTTGTTCTACCTTGACTCCTGTTATTGGCCATGTGCCTTTTGTTGTTTAAACAGATGCTTCTAATTTTGCTATCGGTGCTACATAGTCTCAGAAAGGTAAACCTGTGGCTTTCTTCTCGCGATCCTTGAATGCTAATGAGGAAAAACATTGTGGCATAGAGAAGGAAGCATACGCTATAGTCGAGGCATTAAGAAATGGAAAACTTTTCTTAACTGGACGTCATTTTACATTAATTACTGACCAACGTTTGGTAGTTTTTATGTTTCAATGTATATCTAATAGTAAAATTAATAATGATAAGATTCTAAGGTTGAGATTGAGACTGTTGTGTTACAAGTTTCATATAATTTATTGTCTTGGCAGTCAGAACAATAAGTAGTCAGTTTTGTTAAAGTAACCTCTTTGTTTATTTATACTACAATGTGAACTATTGTACTTTTTAAAACTGATAATGTAAACTACATATAATAGTTTAGTGTTCTCATCTTTGTTGACCTTCTGCGTTTGTTATTATTATATTATATAGATCATCAGCGTAAAAAATATGTGTTAAGTCTTTATTTCTGATTGGAACTGCTAAACGTATTCAGTGTTTACTTGACATATTTTTCTAAAATTTAATTAAAAGTTGAAAAGCGATAAAGGTAGCTTTTTTCATTGTAAAGTTTTTGTTAAATTTTTTTAATTAAAAAAAAATTTGACTTTTGTCCAAAATATTCTCTTTGTTCAACTCATAATGAATAAATTATTCATAAAGTGGTAAACTGTATATTTTTTATTTTTTTAAATGTATTTTAAAGTAAATGGTTATTTTGTGACGATCGATCATTTGAAGATATTTAAACTATGCATATTAATATTTTAATAATGTATATTTGTGAATTTTTTTATTTAGTTGCACACATACCGAACTGAATTTAGGGTCATAATACATAGGGTCGAACACATAGAATTTAGGGTCCATTTCGTGTTTTGCTATAATTATACATTTTTTATCAGTCAATCAAACATTTTGCAATGACATACATTGCCTTTGCAATCATATAAGTCCTTACTCTATATAACTCGTTTTAATTTTTGACAATTGTTCATGTACTGGGGCGCTATATTGAATTGTTAAAGTGGAATGATAATATATTTATACTAATGTGCTAAGTTTTCGTGGCTTAGACAAATTATCTATTTATGAAGTTTAATTTTTGATCGAAAAATTAGCTTTTTACAGGTTAACTTATTTTAAACACTTGAATTTTAAATTTACACAACTGGTTGGCAACTTGTCCTGTAATTCCGTTCCACTTACCACTTTTATCTTTATGTCCAAAGGCTTTTTCTATCGGTTACACTATAATGTAACTATTTAAATGTCACAATTAAATATATGCAAAATAATTAACCTGAAAAATTTATAATTTTATGTCCTATAATTTACATTTTGTTAAAATATTTAAAAGCAAAATAAAAATGTTTTAATTTAACATCATTTAAAAGATAAGAGAATATAACTATTAGTAAATCAAACAAATATTTTTAGAACGTAAATATACGTATATACATTCGAAATAATATTAAAAAATATGCCGAAATAGATATATATTTGAATGATATAATTGAGAAATCTGCAGCTTTCGTAGGTGAATTAAGACATGCAAAAATATAATGAAATGTATATTACTTATACAATTCCAGCAAAAAATTCACGAATTTCAAACCTGCTTAATTCCTTGTAGTTACATTGTAAATTTAAATAGCTGTAAGCAGCTTCTATTTTTCTGTAATTTGTTTTTTTCGCGTTCAGAGATGCATCATAATTCTTTTGTTTTTATTGCACTTCTCTTTATCTAGAGATTTCACTGTAAGAAATCTCAACAAATATCAGCCAACATAGTGTTGTTTGCAAACTTATATGTCGTTTCATATGATAATCACTCCATATTTATTTACGTTTTTATGCATTAATTATTTTATAAAATATATATGAATTCGACTAACATCGTTCAGTTAACACAACTTTCACTAAATCTTTGTATTACTTGTTAATGCTTTTAATATAATGCACGAAAATCTATATTATCTTACAATCAATGCACTACACCTAAACTGTTTCTGATGCTTATTTTACTTCACACATTTTTAAACGTCCTGACTTAGTAAATTTAAATATTTCTTTGTGTCGTGATTTGAAAAGAACCACCTAAAAACTCTCGTATTAATGTTATAATAACTACATGGCTTTATCTGCAAGAAAATATGGAAATCATTCTCCTTTCTCTACAATAATGATTCAGTTCGGTATTTCTTTTATTATACATTCAACTGTAATACTCTTTATTTCTTCAAATAACACAATAATCGCAGTTTATTTTGATTGTATACTTACTTCATAAGATCTCAGAGGAGATAAATTAATTTAACGTTTTTTTATGCTCATAATGTATTGTCTGTTCAATTTTATTTTCATTTTAAATACAGTCGACTCTCCTATAACACTGTTGATTTTTCCGTTTTATATGAATTCCACGTTTTACGAGTATCTTAGATTTTACAAATACGTGAGCCGTTCAAAGCCCGGCACACGTATAACATTACCGATATTCAACAAATATTTTGTAAAATGAAATTGTATAAAATGTAATAATAATTGAATACTTTATTTCTTACTAGTAGCCTGGGACGCCCCCTAGTGGGCGTTATTAACAAATTTCCATGAGGCACGGTTCCTTTGACTTTTCTGTTATTATCAATATGCTGTACAGCTCTGTTAAAGTCCCAATGGTAAGATTTACCCTCCGAATAAATAGGTGGTGATCCCCCCAAACTGTAGCTCCTGTGCGAACAATAAAGTCAAAGGAACCATCCCCCTACTCGCGACCCTTCGCGAGATATAAGCCTCTGAAATAATAAATTCCTATTACAAATATACTGAATTATTTATATTGTTATACTGACCAAATAATAATTTATGGGCCAAATGAATAATAATAATTTATATTGTTAATTTAAATAATAATAAAAATTGTTAATTTGAATGTTTGAAATATGACACACGATAGAAGCGCCTCTAGTGTCCGTTATCAAACAGTTACACGGACAGACACCCGTTGAATGGGTTATATATATAGATAAATTGTTTATACTAAAAATCTATCCGAAAATGTAAAAGTTTCAAAAAATCTTTTATTGAAGCTGCTGAATATAATATATTTTGTGTTAAGGACTTTGAAATTAACTTTAATGAACAAAAAATGATATTTACAGATCTGTCCCTAGAAATGCCAAATAACTGCTATTTTATAATTGCTTCTAAATATTTTAAATAACTAAATAACATTATATTTAATGCAAGAGTTATTGATTGTGACTATCGTGAAAACATTGGAGTCATAATATACGATTTTAGACGGGAAATTATTATTTTTGAAGCTGGAACAGCTATCGCGGAATTAAATTTTGAAATAATCATGCATCCAATATTTTTAGAAACAGATTCATTAGATGCTACTAGCATAGTTAGAAAAGGCTTCGGAGAATGTAGTGAAATCATTTTTTCCCAAAACGAAGTTTGCGACGAAATTTTCTTACCTCAAAGAGTAAACTGCAACGAAATTTCTTCATCTCAAAAAGATTTTCGAGATTGCGACGAAAATTAGCAGTTTTCAAAAATTATTTTGTAATGTACTGGATTATTTTTTTTATTGTACTTAAATTATATTACATATGTAGTCATTGTGGAATGTACTTTATTATATACTCTAGTATTATGCACATTAAAAAAGCAATAATATAAAAAGATAATTGTTTTTTATAGACAATATCGACTGGAAAACATTGTTATCTTCACCCTCAAAAGAATAAACAATTCGTCAATTCAAAAATTATGTTCATTTGGATACAATCAGTCGACGACACGATTTATCTCACGCGTTTATTTGAGAATTCGCGGATTACTTAAATTGAGAATACATATAGAATAATTACAAATTTAGCATCGAATTTATCATACAACATATTGATTATGCATAACGGGATTTAATTTTCCAATACCAGCAATTACACGAACATTTCCTAAGCAATTTCACGGGCCATCTTCATTTGAATTAAGTTGCAAAATTTCAAACTTTTTCACATGATTTTATTTTTTTCTTCATAAATAAATTTGATATAAAAAAGTATTAAATTTTAACAATTAAAAACTACAACTTTATACCAAATACTACATTTCCTAAAGAAGAGTTTTGTTTCTCGTTATCAAAAACTTTATTAACAATGTATTGACGAATTCCAATGTCAATTTTTTCGTTGTCACATTATAAAATATCTAAAATTAAATCGGAAGTACATCATTCACAATCGTCAAACTTTATTCGTGTACATAATAAGAGAAATGCGCCTTGTTTAAATAAATTGAAGGAAAAACTGGTAACACTTAAATAAACTGTGATGTAAAATTTCGATTTGCTAATGTATCGTAAAATAAAGGAAATTAAAATAATTTTAGTGTTTTATTATTTATAATTACCACTAACTTCGCAACAATAAAACTTTAAGTTATCTGAAAAATTACTTATACACACAACAAATTTAATCTTGTGCTTAGATATGTAGTAGGTAATAATAAAACCGTATGCTGCCATAACTTATCGCGACATTACAATGAATTCTAACAAGTATTAAAATTTAATTTGTATGAAAAAATTTACTTCGTATTTTAAAAATTATGTATAAAACTTCATTTTGTGTTTATTATGAGTCATACGTATACTACTTATATAATTGAAATCTATATTATAATTAACAATTTATATAATTTGTATGACGATTTTTTAATTGTTTACATTATTTTAAAACTCCGTCAAAATAATATTTTCAATAATTAAAAGTAACAATAAAAAGTATAAAACCCGAGTCTATATTAAATTAATTAAATGCGAAATACTTAGATTGAAATTGAAATTAGAAAGCCACTTACCTAAATTTTAGTTTTTCTTGGATAACTTTAAATAGTGGAAATAACTTTCCCCCTGTTATTTGCCTTTTAGTTTCATCGTATGTCATAAACCTTGCATGCTGAGAAACAAAAGTATAAGATTATTTAGAAGCCATTTATTATTATTATAATTTTATTATAGAGTAACAGAATTTTTTACCCCAGTTCCAGCAACTCTCCAAACATATGAATCGTTGGACACTCCTATTTAAAATACTTATTATTACGTAACAATATTATTGATAAATGCTGTGAAAAAATTTATTATTTTTCAGTTTTTATTGTTTAATTATTTTAATATTTAATGTTACACGGTAGATTTCAGGATATTGTTTATAAAGTGTTATACTGTAAAGCACATAAAGTAAAAATACATTAAATAGATTGTATTTTGTATTTGAGAATATTACTATTCATTATCAGTAATAAGTTGAAATAGAAATTTACTGAAATACACTAAAAGAAAGTCTGGAATCTCGCGATATTTGTTTACACAAGTTTTAATGTATTTATTGTCAAAATTTTAATTTAATTTAAAACACGATCAATTTTTCAAATAATAATAATTTTTTAAATAGTCTGATATGATAATTCAGTGTTTTTCAAACTGTGGGTCGCGACTCCCAGGGGGTTGCAAAGCATTATACGAGGGTCGCAGTTAAAAGAAATAGTCAAGTCTTTGTAAGTCCTACACTACATTAAAAATACTACAATCTCAGCGAGAGGATGTACCTGTTTATTTTATAGTACAATTGATGTTTTGATCAATATTCACCTGTTAACCATGGGTGTAGCAAAGGAGGAAGGATATGGCCCACTCTATAAAATCATAGCCAAAAAAGTGTAAGGTGATTTGCAGAAGGAAATAAAAAGTAGAATCTGAAAATCCTGATCCTAAAATAAAATTAAAAAAAAGGTTAACAGCACCCTGCGCCCAATGTTATAATTAAAGAAAGTTTCATACTTTATCTGTGTTACCTTATTGTCGATTCTCATGAAATTTTCAGTTTGATCAACAATAATTAGTTTGAACAGACAGAAAATTAAAGACATAGTTTTTAAAATCACTGATATAGTTTTAATATGGCCGTAGGAGGGTCGCCAGAATTTTTTTATCTTTTAAAGGAGTCGCGTATTCAAGAAGGTTGAAAAACACTGGTCTACAAAATATATTGAATACAGTCGTACCCAGCAAAAATAAACAAATAACGTAACCAACACCTTATTGTTTGCTGAGAGAGTTTTATTAAAAACGAACGTTTTCGATCCACTTAACGGATCATCATCAGTCTAGAACATACGAAAATGGAATACATAATAAATAGAACAATAAGTTCAAAAATTCAAAAATATCAATAAACTGATAACAAATCAATTAATAAGAATAAAAAATAAATTTCAAACGATACCTAATAATAAATAATATACTACAAAGACTAAACATTAGTACGATCTATCATAGCTAAATAGAAGCTACCAAGTTTCCTTTAAATCAAATACATATCATATTTCAGTTGATGCGTTACTTGTAAGCTTTTTTAACGGCAAATTTCCAAGCCGAGGGAAACTCTTCTGCATCCCTAGCATTAAGACAACAATATTGGCCCAGATGGCGCAGGCCCAAAAATCCCTGGTTGGATGGGAGGAAGCGGAAGTCGTGAGACAAGTACACTCACCAACGTTGGCGAAGACGGCCGAAAAAATGGAGATATACAGGAGCAAACTTAAACAAGGATGCATTAATGCTAGGGATGCGGAAGGTCTTCCCTCGGCTTGGAAATTTGCCGTTAAAAAAGCTTACAAGTAGCGCATCACCTGAAATATGATATGTATTTGATTTAAATTGGTTTATTTATGACTTTGATGATTTACTTGGTAGCTTCTATTTAGCTATGATAGATCGTACTAATGTCTTTGTAGTATATTATTTATTATTAGGTATCGTTTGGAATTTATTTTTTATTCTTATTAATTGATTTGTTATCAGTTTACTGATATTTTTGTATTTTTGAACTTTTTGTTCCATTTATTATGTATTCCATTTTCGTATGTTCTAGCCTGATGATGATACGTTAATTGAATCGAAAACGTTCGTTTTTAATAAAACTCTCTCAGCAAACAATAAGGTGTTGGTTACGTTATTTATTTACAAAATATAAATACATGAAGACAAAGCTTGAACTAAAAATTCAAAATGAATATGAAAGCATCATTTGAACTGATAATAGATAATAATATTATACAAATTGCTAGATCAAGCTAAAAACTCATAAAATAAGTGTGTTGTCATTTTGTGTTTAAAAAAGTAGAAAATATGCTACTAAGTGCAACAGTTGTTTGAAATTTGTTTGTAAAGTGCATAGTACCACAAAAATANGTTAATTTAAATAATAATAAAAATTGTTAATTTGAATGTTTGAAATATGACACACGATAGAAGCGCCTCTAGTGTCCGTTATCAAACAGTTACACGGACAGACACCCGTTGAATGGGTTATATATATAGATAAATTGTTTATACTAAAAATCTATCCGAAAATGTAAAAGTTTCAAAAAATCTTTTATTGAAGCTGCTGAATATAATATATTTTGTGTTAAGGACTTTGAAATTAACTTTAATGAACAAAAAATGATATTTACAGATCTGTCCCTAGAAATGCCAAATAACTGCTATTTTATAATTGCTTCTAAATATTTTAAATAACTAAATAACATTATATTTAATGCAAGAGTTATTGATTGTGACTATCGTGAAAACATTGGAGTCATAATATACGATTTTAGACGGGAAATTATTATTTTTGAAGCTGGAACAGCTATCGCGGAATTAAATTTTGAAATAATCATGCATCCAATATTTTTAGAAACAGATTCATTAGATGCTACTAGCATAGTTAGAAAAGGCTTCGGAGAATGTAGTGAAATCATTTTTTCCCAAAACGAAGTTTGCGACGAAATTTTCTTACCTCAAAGAGTAAACTGCAACGAAATTTCTTCATCTCAAAAAGATTTTCGACATTGCGACGAAAATTAGCAGTTTTCAAAAATTATTTTGTAATGTACTGGATTATTTTTTTTATTGTACTTAAATTATATTACATATGTAGTCATTGTGGAATGTACTTTATTATATACTCAAGTATTATGCACATTAAAAAAGCAATAATATAAAAAGATAATTGTTTTTTATAGACAATATCGACTGGAAAACATTGTTATCTTCACCCTCAAAAGAATAAACAATTCGTCAATTCAAAAATTATGTTCATTTGGATACAATCAGTCGACGACACGATTTATCTCACGCGTTTATTTGAGAATTCGCGGATTACTTAAATTGAGAATACATATAGAATAATTACAAATTTAGCATCGAATTTATCATACAACATATTGATTATGCATAACGGGATTTAATTTTCCAATACCAGCAATTACACGAACATTTCCTAAGCAATTTCACGGGCCATCTTCATTTGAATTAAGTTGCAAAATTTCAAACTTTTTCACATGATTTAATTTTTTTCTTCATAAATAAATTTGATATAAAAAAGTATTAAATTTTAACAATTAAAAACTACAACTTTATACCAAATACTACATTTCCTAAAGAAGAGTTTTGTTTCTCGTTATCAAAAACTTTATTAACAATGTATTGACGAATTCCAATGTCAATTTTTTCGTTGTCACATTATAAAATATCTAAAATTAAATCGGAAGTACATCATTCACAATCGTCAAACTTTATTCGTGTACATAATAAGAGAAATGCGCCTTGTTTAAATAAATTGAAGGAAAAACTGGTAACACTTAAATAAACTGTGATGTAAAATTTCGATTTGCTAATGTATCGTAAAATAAAGGAAATTAAAATAATTTTAGTGTTTTATTATTTATAATTACCACTAACTTCGCAACAATAAAACTTTAAGTTATCTGAAAAATTACTTATACACACAACAAATTTAATCTTGTGCTTAGATATGTAGTAGGTAATAATAAAACCGTATGCTGCCATAACTTATCGCGACATTACAATGAATTCTAACAAGTATTAAAATTTAATTTGTATGAAAAAATTTACTTCGTATTTTAAAAATTATGTATAAAACTTCATTTTGTGTTTATTATGAGTCATACGTATACTACTTATATAATTGAAATCTATATTATAATTAACAATTTATATAATTTGTATGACAATTTTTTAATTGTTTACATTATTTTAAAACTCCGTCAAAATAATATTTTCAATAATTAAAAGTAACAATAAAAAGTATAAAACCCGAGTCTATATTAAATTAATTAAATGCGAAATACTTAGATTGAAATTGAAATTAGAAAGCCACTTACCTAAATTTTAGTTTTTCTTGGATAACTTTAAATAGTGGAAATAACTTTCCCCCTGTTATTTGCCTTTTAGTTTCATCGTATGTCATAAACCTTGCATGCTGAGAAACAAAAGTATAAGATTATTTAGAAGCCATTTATTATTATTATAATTTTATTATAGAGTAACAGAATTTTTTACCCCAGTTCCAGCAACTCTCCAAACATATGAATCGTTGGACACTCCTATTTAAAATACTTATTATTACGTAACAATATTATTGATAAATGCTGTGAAAAAATTTATTATTTTTCAGTTTTTATTGTTTAATTATTTTAATATTTAATGTTACACGGTAGATTTCAGGATATTGTTTATAAAGTGTTATACTGTAAAGCACATAAAGTAAAAATACATTAAATAGATTGTATTTTGTATTTGAGAATATTACTATTCATTATCAGTAATAAGTTGAAATAGAAATTTACTGAAATACACTAAAAGAAAGTCTGGAATCTCGCGATATTTGTTTACACAAGTTTTAATGTATTTATTGTCAAAATTTTAATTTAATTTAAAACACGATCAATTTTTCAAATAATAATAATTTTTTAAATAGTCTGATATGATAATTCAGTGTTTTTCAAACTGTGGGTCGCGACTCCCAGGGGGTTGCAAAGCATTATACGAGGGTCGCAGTTAAAAGAAATAGTCAAGTCTTTGTAAGTCCTACACTACATTAAAAATACTACAATCTCAGCGAGAGGATGTACCTGTTTATTTTATAGTACAATTGATGTTTTGATCAATATTCACCTGTTAACCATGGGTGTAGCAAAGGAGGAAGGATATGGCCCACTCTATAAAATCATAGC